CCGATAGATATAAAAACAAAGGCCTACCAGGTTCAGGCGGGACCAGTACAGGGGGTTTTGACAGATAATCTTTGATCCTGTCAAAAGCTTTTTGGCAATCGTCTGTCCACCTGATAGCGGCATCCTTTTTCAGCAACTTAAAGATGGGCTCGCACGTGGTTGTGAGCTGAGCAATGAACCTACTGATGTAGTTCAACCTCCCGAGCAAACTCATGACTTCTTTTTTGTTCTTCGGGGGTGGAAGATCTCGAATGGACTTTATCTTAGATGGATCCAATTCGATGCCCCTCCGGCTGACTATAAAACCGAGGAGTTTCCCAGACGGAACCCCAAATGCACACTTGGCTGGATTGAGCTTAAGGTCATACCTTCGAAGCCGTTCGAAGAACTTTTTCAAATCACACACGTGATCAGCTTGTGTCTTTGATTTTATGATGACATCATCGACATATACTTAAATCTCTTTGTGCATCATGTCGTGAAAGATGGTGGTCATGGCCCTCATGTAAGTTGCCCCTGCATTCTTTAAACCGAATGGCATGACCCTGTAACAATAAGTACCCCATGGCGTGGTGAAAGCGGTCTTTTCTGCATCATCCTCATCCATTAGAATTTGGTGGTACCCAGCATAGCAATCCACGAACGATTGTATCTCATGTTTTGTGCAATTATCTACAAGAATGTGGATATTTGGCAAAGGAAAATTATCCTTTGGACTTGCTTTGTTCAGGTCCCTATAGTCGACACAAACTCTAGTTTTTCCATCCTTCTTTGGCACAGGCACAACATTTGCCACCCAGGTGGTGTATCGGATAGCTCTGACCACATTGGCGCTCAGTTGCTTCATTATTTCCTCTTTGATTTTGTCACTCATGTCTGTTTTAAATTTTTGTTGCTTTTGTTGGACTAGTGGAAAACCAAGATACGTAGGAAGCTTATGAACCACCAGATCAGTACTTAAATCCGACATATCATCATAAGACCAAGCAAACACATCTGTGTATTCAAATAAAAGTTGAATCAAGGAATCTCTGGTTTTTTGTTCAGTGTGAATGCTTATCTTCGTTTCTCTAACTTCTTCAGGACTTCCGATATTAATCGGCTCAGTTTCATTGAGGTTTGGCTTAGGCTTGTTTTCAAATTGTTCCAACTCTCTTTTTATTTCCTCAACAACCTCATCTTCATCATATTCAACCTCTTGATGCATTATTTCGATATTAGACAGCTTTTTAAGATCTGGGCATGAATTCCGCATGCATGTCATGTTATTAAAGCCGACATTAACAAAACTGAAATGGAAATAAAATGACAGGAATTAGGAAAAGGAAAAGATAGAAAACTTAATAGGAAACTGAACTGCATTTCATTGAATTCGAAAGGATAGAAGGGTTAACATCAAAACAAAACAATCATACTGAGATGTTTGGATTACAACCCTGAAAGTAACCCAAAATACAAAAAAGAAGCTGCAAAAGCAAACTACCAAGACTCCTTCCTTGTGGGGAGAGGAGTTGCTTCCCAGTTGGTGAGCATGGTGTCTGGGTCAATTAGTTGCATATCGGCACGACTAGTGCCTTCACCAGCCTGGATCATATTCACTTCAGAAAACATCTCGCTGAGGCCATGGCAAATTTCATCAATGTTTGCATGCGCCGAGGAATTTTGACCCTCTTGGAGTCGTGGCTTGACAAAAGTGTAGAAAATGTGAGGGATAGGCTGTTGCAAGACCCATCCATGCTTTTTGCGGTGTTTGGCTTTGTTTTCGTCTGCTTGTGTTGGCCTGAAGCCTAAGCCAAAAGTACCCTGGTTACCGAACGGAGAAATAGGCTCCGAAATTCCTTGCAATGATGCCCCCAAGCCTTTTCCTGGCTCATAACCTTGTCTCATCATAACTGCAGCCACCATTACAGATGTGGCGGAAAGACGAGGATGCAGAATGGGCTTTCCTTCCTCGACATGGTCCACAACAACCACTTCAAAAGCCTGATAGACAATGGACTCAGACCCTTCCTTGGCCTCAATACAGGGGATTAACGGGTCTTTATAAATGGAAGACTCGTCTTCTCCGTGAACAATAATTTCTTGCCTGTCATGTTCAAATTTGAGCATCTGATGCAAGGTGGATGGCACAGCTCGGGCCGTATGGATCCATGGCCTTCCAAGAAGAAAGTTATAAGAAGTGGCCATGTCCACTACTTGGAAGACAATCTCAAAGTCAACTGGCCCAATCGTCATGGTGAGGTTGATCTCCCCAATGGTATCTCTTGCTGAGCCATCAAAAGCCCGGATGCGAACATTGCTGGGTCGGATTCTGTCTGTATCGATCTTCATGCTTTGCAAGGTAGAGAGAGGGCATACATCTACACTTGAGCCTCCATCAACCATGACTCGCTTTACATAATGACCCTCACATTTGACCATCAAGTTCAAAGCCCTATTGTGCCCATCTCCCTCCTCGGGAAGTTCATCATCGGTAAAGGAGATTCTGTTCACCTTGAAAAATCTGTTGGCCATCTTCTCTAACTGATTCACTGTGGTCTCCTCTGAGATATGTGCCTCGTTCAGGACCTTGATTAGTACACGGGCATGCTCTTTGAATGTAGGAGCAGAGATCGTAGAGAGATTTGAGCAGGAGTCTTTCTTAGCTGATCAATGATTGAGTAATCCTGAACTTCATCTTTTTCAAAAACTCTTCCGCATCTGCTTCAGTGACTGGTTTCTTTATTGGCAAATGGCCTTCTCTAATTTGCTTGGCCTTCCTCAACTCTTCTGGAGAGTAACATCTCCCTGATCGAGTAAACCTCCAGTTTCCCCCACTTCCTCTATGATTTCCTTGCCTTTGTAGGTCATCACCGTTTTGTTGTAGTTCCAAGGAGTGGTTTTTGTGTTGGTTACGGGGAGTTGCATGGCAGGTTTGATTACGATCGGTTCTGTTATACCTTTCGTACCTCCTGCTTCTCTCTTTTGATGGGGTGGCCTCCAACTACATATAACCATGGGCTTGGAACACTGGAGTGAACTTCCAACCTCGAGATCTTTGGAACAAATAAAGTTGCCTTATTTGAGCTCTGGGCGCCTTTCACAATCAATGGCACATCTCGGCTGGGACTTACTTCCAGACCCGCTCCTTCTTGAATTGCACCCACTGTCATTTCTGCTCGACCGACCGGCTTGTAATCTTGGTCTCGGCCAATCATTCCCACAAAATGAACATCATTGTGTGCTGGCAATGGGTTATTTGTCACATTAGGAGTTTCCTCGCCATTCGTCACTACAATCAGTTTTTCAGAAATGAGTCTCTCTATGGCTCTTTTCAGAGTCCAACAGTCATCAGTGCTATGCCCTGGGGCACCTGAATGATATTCACATCTAGCATTTTCTTGAAATCCATGCGAATCGGGATGCATATGGTGGGGAGCGATGGGTCCAATTACGCCCATTTGCTTTAGCTTCTGGAATAGACTAGAATATGATTCGGCCAATGGAGTGAATTTTTCTGCCGGCCTCTGCTCTCGACCATAATCCTGCCTGGGACGAGCATTGTAGGGTGCCCAAAAATTTTGCTGCTAAGGTCGGGGGATCCTTGGAGCTGGTGCCCGTACCTGCTGATTAGGAGGCCGAGCATATGATTGAGCATTGAACACTATATATTGTGGTGGGCCCACAGAGTATTGAGGAATTGGCGGGGGATAATAATGTTGAGGGTAACTGGATTGCCTCTGCTGAACTTGCACATAAGGGTGTGATGCCCCTCTTTGAATTTCTCTGGATCCCGAAGTCATCGTGGACCCTTCATCTCTTTTCTTTCTATTTGCCAAACTTCCCGAGCCATTTTGGATCGCCTGAGTGGTGGCTTTGAGAGCAGCTTGACTCACAATTCTGCCAGTCTTGAGGCCATTTTCGACCATTTCGCCTATTTTGATTGCTTCTGCAAAAGGTCTGCCCATTGCGGACATCATGTTTTGGAAGTAATCAGGCTCTTGAGCCTCCAGAAAAACAGTGATCAACTTGTGGCTTAACTCTAGCCGCTTGCTCCCTCCACTTGATGGCATACTCCCTAAAACTTTCGGTCGGTTTTTTCTTCATATTGGACAAAGAATTACGATCCGGTGTAATATCAATGTTGTACTGAAATTGTTTGACGAAGCCCTGGGCCATGTCATCGCAAACATGACAGTGAGAGATATCTTGGTCAATGAACCATTCGGAAGCTACCCCTACAAGGCTTTCCCCAAAGTAAGCCATCAGCAGCTCTTCTTTTCCTCCTGTGCCCCAGCTGGTTGCAGTACCTTTTAAGTGGGTGATAGGGTCGTCGTGTCCATCATATTTCTCGAATTTTGGGGTCTTGAACCCTCGTGGCAAATGGATGTGAGGGAACATGCATAGATCACTGAATGAAACACTTTTGTGACCACCTAGTCCCTGTGTATTCTTTATATTCTGTTCAAGACTTTTCATTTTCCTGGCCCTCTCATCTGGCTCAACAGTCGTGGCAGGCTTTTCATTTTCACTTGTGATTCATACCGAGGAGTCTGATTGTATGGGGCTGAGACCCCAAAATCCATATTTGGAGAATAGTATTGGCCATCATAAGCATGAGATGGGGGCTTATTGTTTGGCCTCTCCACAGGTGGTGGCGGCGGGATTGTATATACCGGTGCGCCAGACACGACGAGAGGGGTGTTCCTAACCGGTGCGACTGGAGGTCGCATATTAGAGGTACCGGGGGCAGCATGGAGGCTGTGGTTTGGCACATACCCTGGTGGTAGAATAGGATCGCTCGTTGCATGGAGCGGTGTTTGAGTAGCCTGGGGTATGGTGGAAGTTCCCTCTGAAGGACCCTGGGGTGGAGGTCGTACCGGTAAACCCAAGCTTGATATACATCTGACAGTTGTTGTCTCAATTTTCTTATTTCCTCCGACTCTTGCTCAACTGACTGACCCTGCGGATTGTCACTGACCAACTCGATTTCATCACTATTATCCATTACCACCGCTCCCTTAGATCTTGTGAAGTAGTGATGTGTTGNTGAGCATGTGATGCAAGGTGGATGGCACAGCTCGGGCTGTATGGATCCATGGCCTTCCAAGAAGAAAGTTATAAGAAGTGGCCATGTCCACTACTTGGAAGACAATCTCAAAGTCAACTGTCCCAATCGTCATGGTGAGGTTGATCTCCCCAATGGTATCTCTTGCTGAGCCATCAAAAGCCCGGATGCGAACATTGCTGGGTCGAATTCTGTCTGTATCGATCTTCATGCTTTGCAAGGTAGAGAGAGGGCATACATCTACACTTGAGCCTCCATCGACCATGACTCGCTTTACATAATGACCCTCACATTTGACCATCAAGTTCAAAGCCCTATTGTGCCCGGCTCCCTCCTCGGGAAGTTTATCATCAGTAAAGGAGATTCTGTTCACCTCAAAAAATCTGTTGGCCATCTTCTCTAACTGATTCACTATGGTCTCCTCTGAGATATGTGCCTCGTTCAGGACCTTGATTAGTACACGGGCATGCTCTTTGGAATGTAGGAGAAGAGATAGTAGAGAGATTTGAGCGGGAGTCTTTCTTAGTTGATCAATGATTGAGTAATCCTGAACTTTCATCTTTTTCAAAAACTCTTCCGCATCTGCTTCAGTGACTGGCTTCTTTATTGGCAAATGGCCTTCTCTAATTTTCTTGGCCTTCCTCAACTCTTCTGGAGAGTAACATCTCCCTGATCGAGTAAAACCTCCAGTTTCCCCCACTTCCTCTATGATTTCCTTGCCTTTGTAGGTCATCACCATTTTGTTGTAGTTCCAAAGAGTGGTTTTTGTGTTGGTTACAGGGAGTTGCATGGAAGGTTTGATTACGATCGGCTCTGTTATACCTTTCGTACCTCCCTGCTTCTCCCTTTTGACGGGATGGCTTCCAAGTACATATAACCTTGGGCTTGGAACACTAGAGTGAACTTCCAACCTCGAGATCTTTGGAACAAATAAAGTTGCCTTATTTGAGTTCTGGGCGCCTTTCACAATCAATGGCACATCTCGGCTGGGACTTACTTCCATACCTGCTCCTTCTTGAATTGCACCCACTGTCATTTCTGCTCGACCGACCGGCTTGTATTCTTGGTCTCGGCCAATCATTTCAACAAAATGAACATCATTGTGTGCTGTCAACGGATTATTTGTCACGTTAGTAAGGTCCTCGCCATTCGTCACTACAATCAGTTTTTCGGAAATGAGTTTCTCTATGGCTCTTTTCAGAGTCCAACAGTCATCAGTGCTATGCCCTGGGGCACCGAAATGATATTTACATCTAGCATTTGCTTGAAATCCATGCGAATCGGTATGCATATGGTGGGGAGCGATGGGTCCAATTACGTCCATTTGCTTTAGCTTCTGGAATAGACTAGAATATGATTCAGCCAATGGAGTGAATTTTTCTACCGGCCTCTGCTCTCGACCATAATCCTGCCTGGGACGAGCATTGTAAGGCGCCCGAAAATTTTTGCTGCTGAGGTCAGGGGCCCCTTGGAGTTGGTGCCCGTACCTGCTGATAGGGAGGTCGAGCATATGATTGAGCATTGAACACTGTATATTGTGGTGGGCCCACAGAGTATTGAGGAATCGGCGGGGGATAATAATGTTGAGGGTAGCTGGATTGCCCCTGCTGAACTTGCACATAAGGGTGCGATGCCCCTCTTTGAAACTCCCTAGATCCCGAAGCCATCATGGACCCTTCATCTCTCTTCTTTCTGTTTGCCAAACCTCCCGACCCATTTTGGATAGCTTGGGTGGTGGCTTTGAGAGCAGCTTGACTTACAATTCTGCCAGTCTTGAGGCCATTTTCGACCATCTCCCCTATTTTGATTGCTTCTGCAAAAGGTCTACCCATCGCGTACATCATGTTCTGAAAGTAATCAGACTCTTGAGCATCCAAAAAAACAATGATCAACTCGTGGTTATCCATGGGTGGCTTAACTCTAGCCGCTTGCTCCCTCCACTTGATGGCATACTCCCTAAAACTTTCGGTCGGCTTTCTCTTCATATTGGACAAAGAATTACGATCTAACGCAATGTCAATGTTGTACTGAAATTGTTTGACGAAGGCCTGGACCATGTCATCCCAAACATGCCAGTGAGAGATATCTTGGTCAATGAACCATTCGGAAGCTACCCCCACCAGGCTTTCCCCAAAGTAAGCCATCAGTAGCTCTTCCTTTCCTCCTGCACCCCTCAGCTGGTTGCAGTACCTTTTCAAGTGGGCGATGGGGTCGCCGTGTCCATTATATTTTTCAAATTTCGGGGTCTTGAACCCTCGTGGCAAATGGATGTGGGGGAACATGCATAGATCACTGAATGAAACGCTTTTGTGACCACCTAGTCCCTGTATATTCTTTATATTTTGTTCAAGACTTTTCATTTTCCTAGCCATCTCATCTGGCTCAACCCTCGTGGCTGGCTTCTCATTTTCCACTGGTGACTCGTACTGAGGAGTCTGATTGTATGGAGCCGAGACCCCGAAAGCCATATTTGGAGAATAGTATTGGCCATCATAAGCATGAGATGGTGGATCATTGTTTGGCCTCGTCACAGGTGGTGGCGGCGGGATTGTATATACCGGTGCGCCAGACACGACGAGAGGGGTGTTCCTAACCTGTGCGACTGGAGGTCGCATATTAGAGGTACCGGGGGCAGCATGGAGGCTGTAGTTTGGCACATACCCTAGTGGTAGAATGGGATCGCTTGTTGCATGGAGCGGTGTTTGAGTAGCTTGGGGTACGGTGGAAGTTCCCTCTGAAGGACCCTGGGGTGGAGGTCGAACGGAAACCCAAGCTTGATATACATCTGACAATTGTTGTCTCAATTTTCTTATTTCCTCCGACTCTTGCTCAACTGACTGACCCTGCGGATTGTCACTGACCAACTTGATTTCATCACTATTATCCATTACCACTGCTCCCTTAGATCTTGTGAAGTAATGATGTGTTGCCAGTTTTTACCACAAACCAACCACCTTAAGCTTACTGGATTAAGAGGTAACAAATGTGTTAGAGTTAAGCATTTTNCGGTTGTTTTTACCTTAGATTGGATCTTGATGCCTTTTTAAAGAAAAGATTATGGCTCGTTCTCGATTGTTTGCTTTTTGGATCAAAATTTGAGAAAATGAATCTTGAGAAAGCTGTGTTGCTGACACCTCATCGAAACTAACTCCAACTATCATGTGATCATCCTTCTGATGATAACTGAAAGTACAAGCTTCGATCGTCATAACCTGTGCTCTATGGCGAGGCCTGCAAAGCCATCAAAGACGAACAAAACGAACAAACTTTTTTTGCCCCAGTTTGGACTAGAAAAATTTTGTGAGTTATCAGCGAAAGTTATAAACTATCTAATTTATTGAAAAGCAGATAGAAGCAGTAGTATAAACTAGCTAAAAGTGATAAAATTTGTAACAAATGATTGTGTAACCAAGGATCGGTATCCTATACTACTGAAAGGAAATGTAACCAGGGGCTGGTACCCTATCTTACTGGAAGGAAATAGAATCAGGCGTTAGCACCATGTATTATTGATAAAGTGTTGAATCCCTCTAGGTGAAAAAGGTTATACCTAAGTTAAACTACATTAAACAACCTGAGCGAAGATTACTTCTACCCGGAACTATGAGTTGGATCCCTCTAGGCGAAAACGGGTCTACCTGAGTTAAACTACGTAAAACAACCTGAGCGAAGATTACTTCTACTCGGAACTATGAGCTGGATCCCCCTAGGCGAAAGGATTCTACCTGAGTTAAGCTGTGTAAAACACCCTGAGCGAAGAGTACTTCTACTCGGAACTATGAGCTGGATCCCCCTAGGCGAAAGGGTTCTATCTGGGTTAAGCTATGTAAAACAAACTGAGCGAAGAGTACTTCTACCCGGAACTATGAGCTGGATCCCTCTAGGCCAAAATATTCTACCCGAGTTAAGCTACGTAAAAACAACCCGAGCGAAGAGTACTTCTACTCGGAACTATGAGCTGGATCCCCCTAGGCGAAAGGATTCTACCTGAGTTAAGCTGTGTAAAACAACCTGAGCGAAGAGTACTTCTACTCGGAACTATGAGCTGGATCCCCCTAGGCGAAAGGATTCTACCTGAGTTAACCTGCATACTGAGCGAAGAGTACTTCCACCCGGAATTATGAGCTAGATCCCTCTAGGCGAAACAGTTCTACCTGAGTTAAGCTACGTAAAACAAACTAAGCGAAGAGTACTTCTACCCGGAACTATGAGCTGGATCCCTCTAGGAAAAAAAGATTCTACCCGAGTTAAGCTACGTAAAAACATCCTGAGCAAAGAGTACTTCTACCCGGAAATATGAGCTGGATCCCCCTAGGCGAAAGAATTCTACCTGAGTGAAGCTACATAACTGGGAGGTGCGAGCAATAGTGATGCATTCTGAAAAGAAAAATGGAGATTTTAAGGATCTTACGCTTGGTGACATTCGTTCTTTTAGGATCGACATTCTGCACTGCTTTGTTCCTGCTTCAAACAAAGAAAAATTTGTGAGTTTTCCAAGTGGTGGTTGGTTTGTGGCCTTGATGCCTTGATGCCTTGAGTAGTTTGATTCGCGGCCGCTCTGTCGAATAACCGATTCTGTCAGCGTGGTACCGAGATGCTTGGCTGCTTTGTATCATTTTCTAGAGACCTTGGCTTTCCAATATTGCCCCCAACTGTTTTGTACCCAGATGTCCATGGTACCGCTACCTTTGTCTCTAAGGCAATGCCTTTTTCTTTAAAATCAAACTCAGTTGTCTTGTACCCAGTATCAGTTTGTGTCCGTAGTGCTTATCAACTTTTCTCATGAAGCAGGTCTTGCTCATGTGACTTTTCAGTTTCTTTGAAACACTTTGTTCGCCTTATTGAATGAGATCTCAGATGGATTCGTGCCTTCGTCAATGCTATATATGCCCCAAATTGTGCTCGATATTACGGGGAAATTATAGCTAGTTTTGCAGCCATTTCTTTGCTATGCTTTTGATGCAGGATTAGACTGAAAGGGACTCAAAGAAAAATAATGGGAAAAACAGAATAATAATTGAAAGTGAAAAAGAATTGTGCTGAAACGAAAGGTGTCCCTTTCGGGGAAAGGAATAGGGAGACTTATCTGGAGGTATGTGCTGACTTCAATGAATCATGACATGCATTTTGGACTGGACGCCTGATCCGTCTGAGCTGTCTAATTCTCAAAATCCGCCGCAAACGTTCATCTTGAATTTGTCTTGGTTGTGCTCATGCCGGAGAATCAAAGACCCTCATTCGGCTAGTAGCGCCCTTTGCGGGTTTTCGCTAACTGGCCTCTCTCATTTCTCTACTCACCGTTGCCTTATGGTGCCCATCTGGGTTTTAACCAATAAGACTCTCTCATTTCTTTTTTATTAAGATACTGCATGAGGGAGGTTGCCCAACGCCCTTGGCATGGGGACTTCAAACATTCTCAAAAAAAATTGATCAGAAGTTCTTGAAAGGTAAAAGGGCGAAATGAACCTTAAACTGAATTACAACTTTTGGAACCGTTTTTACAGAAACACCGTAAAATAAAACAAATTTCTGCCCCAGTTTTGGATTATTGGGAATATGGATTTTTTGTTCTGATGGGACCGAACCCAGGGTAAGGCTGCCTACGTATCCTTTCGGAATCAGGTCGGACGTAGTTCAATGACTCCGAAGCGTTGTTGTTTGACTATTTTTTCTTTCTTTCTCTTCTTTCGTTTTACAAGTACACAGGTTGCAGAAAGTGTAAAACAAAGAAGATAAATACGGCTCAAAAGGGTTAACAAAAGAGTGACACCTATTTGGAATAGCGAACAAATGATAGCCTTCATCATCTCGATCTGAGAAAATCAATGCGTGAAAGTTCTACAGTGGCCATATATCAGACATAATATCTTTTGACTGCATTTGCATTAATAGTCATGTCTGGTACCTGTCCTTCTTCATCTACCAAGTGCAAGGCCCCTTTTGCTAACACTTTCTTGATGATGTAGGGTCTTTGGCAGTTCGGTGCGAACTTTCCTTTAGCTTCAACCTGGTGCGGAAGGATGCGTTTCAAAACTAGCTGGCCTACCTCAAACTTCCTTGGGCGCACTTTCTTATTATAAGCGCGTGCCATTCTTTGCTGGTATAACTGGCTGAAACACACTGGTGCTAGCCGTTTTTAATCGATCAACATCAGTTGTTCTAATCGGGTCTTGACCCACTCAGTGTCTTCAATCTCTGATTCCACAATAATTCGGAGAGAGGGAATTTCGACTTCAGCGGGTATTACAGCTTCAGTTCCATATACAAGCAGATACAGAGTTGCACCAACAGATGTGCGAACTGTCGTGCGGTATCCCAAAAGAGCAAAAGGCAACTTTTCATGCCATTGCCTGGAACCTTGGACCATCTTCCTAAGAATCTTCTTGATGTTCTTGTTCTCCGCTTCAACGGCTCCATTGGCTTTTGGTTGGTAAGGGGTAGAATGACGATACATGATTTTAAATTGTTCGCACACCTCCTTCATCAGATGGTTATTTAGATTGGCTGCATTATCAGTGATAATGGTCTTTGGGATACCAAAGCGACAGATGATGTTGGAATGGACAAAGTCTACCACTTCTTTCTTGGTGACTGCTTTGAAAGTGACGGCCTCCACACACTTGGTGAAGTAATCAGTTGCAACCAAAATGAATATATGCCCATTTGAAGCCTTTGGCTCGATTGGCCCAATAACATCCATTCCCCAAGCAACGAAAGGCCAAGGAGAGGACATGCGATGCAACTCGGAGGGAGGCGAGTAAATCAGGTCACCATGAATCTGGCATTGGTGACACTTGCGAACAAAATTGAAGCAATCTCGCTCCATAGTAAGTCAATAATACCTAGCCCGCAGAATCTTTTTCGCCAAAACATATCCGTTCATGTAAGGTCCGCACACCCCCGAATGCACCTCGCTCATGATCCGCTCCGCTTCTGTGGCATCTATGCATCTCAACAAGTTTAAATCTGGGGTCCTCTTGTACAGAATTTCCCCACAAGAAGAAACCGCTGGCGAGCCGCCTTATAGTTCTTTTTTGATCTCCTTTGGCATGCTCTGAATATCTCTTGTTTTCAGGAATCGTTTTATGTCATGATACCATGGTTCACCATCTGGTTCTGTCTCAATTGTATTGCAGTAACCGTGTTGATTCCGAACTTGGATTTATAGTGGATCATAGAGGCTAATGTAGCCAAGGCATCGGCTAGCTCATTGTGAAACCTGAGAATGTACCTGAACTAGATAGATTTGAATCTTTTGCTCAAGTCTTACACACATTGTCTGTACGGAATAAGCTTGATGTCTCGAGTATCCCATTCGCCCTAGGCTTGCCGGATAAGCAAGTCAGAATCTCCCATAACCAATAGTTCATGCACATCCAGATCGATGGCCATTTTCAAACCCATGATACAAGCTTCGTATTCTGCCATAGTTATGGTACAGAGAACCGAAGTCGGGCCGTTGCAGGGTAATCGGTGTCCAATAGGCGAGATCGAGGACTTGCCCTGATCCCAACTCCTTTGATATTGACAGCTCCATCAAAATACATTTTCCCTACAGGGTGATCGTCTCGAACTACTTCCTCTATTGAGTTGACCTCTTCGTTTGGGAAGTATGTGCTAAGTGGCCTGTACTCATCATCAATTGGATTCTCTGCCAAATGATCTGCCAAAGCTTGTGCTTTCATTGCGGTGCAAGTGACATAGATAATGTCGAACTCCGTGAGCAGGACTTGCCATTTTGCGAGCCTGCCAGTGGGCATTGGCTTTTGGAAGATGTACTTCAAAGGATCCATTCTGGATATGAGGTAAGTAGTGTAGGCCAAAAGATAATGTCTCAGCTTCTGAACGACCCAAGTCAAGGCACAACATGTCCTTTCTAAAAGGGTGT